AAACATCTTCTAAAGCATCCAGGAATCCTTCTGCGCCGTCTTCTTCATCTTCGGCCCAATAGCCGTCGGTTCCTTCTAATTCACCTTCATCCAGTACGAGGAAAGATCTTCTCTGTGCCATGCCAGAGGGTTGCATCAATGGATTGTCAACTGCTGTTTTGGTAGTGCAAAACATTTCCAAAAACAGGTCACGTAGTTCTTGAATACTGTATCGATCGAGGGTTCGTCCACGATGTGTCATGATACTTGTGAGTGTGTTTCTCTGATCTTGACTCAGGTCAGCTAGACTTACAAAAATCAATGCTAGCAAATTTTCACCCAGTGGGAATGCTTGTCGCTGTGCTTCTCTACGATTTTCCTGAAATTGTCTGAATGCCGCTAGTGCCAGTTCATCTGTCCAAGGAACAGCTACATGGGGTGTTCCTGAGGCTGCTGCTACTTCAGCTCTCTCTTGTTGATCTCGTTCATGTTCTTGACGTCGTTGTTGAACAAACAGAATTGCTTCAGGACTAGTCACTGTTACTTCTGGAAGTAAATCCATCCAAGACTCAATAAGTCTATTGCCAGTGAGTTGAAATCTAGTCATCCACTTCTGAAGATCCATGGTTCCTCTGTTGAACTTCATGAACTGCATGAAACGGTATAAGAACACGTTCTGGGCACCTTTGATGAAATGAGGTCGTAGAAATCTTTTGAAATAAGCCACTCCTTCATAGGGATCCCTGAGTAATTCTCTATCCAATAGCCTCTTGTATTGTTGAGCATCTCCTTCCAGTCTGTTGCGCAATGCTGGACCACGTTTCTCTGGTTCTAACTCCGTAATGTCACACCAGTCATCAATTGCATCCTCAAAAGCAAAGAAGCTGGTTCGCCCATCATAGGCTGGAGCAACCTTTGTGGTCATCTGTTGCGTCATATGAATGTGTTTGCTGGGGTGCTCTTCTCATTGCATAAGAGTCATATTGGTTCCATTCATTTGCATCGACAATGTCGAAGTCATCATCATCATAGCCATGGCTTGCCATTTCTTGGGCTCTACCTGGAGCTCACCCTCAATGAGGGATCACAGCTCCGCTACCACTTGAAGAGGGGCCCTAGCGTCTACTTCAAGATCAGCTAAGGCGTCTTCCCCAATGACAGCACTCTTTTACTCTCAGCCTGTTGCCGGTCAGTGCTTGTCTACAGGGTTACTCTATATACCTCTTGAGCCTTGAAGGGCGCATATAAATGTGCTCAATACTCATGCATGTACCTATGTAGGTATTAGGTCGAAACAAAAACAAGGGCGCAGCGCCTCCCCCCCAAAGCAGATTGGAAACACCTATTTTCACATGCAAGGTGCTGGCTTGAATGTGATACTCAAGGTGTATAGACTACACGACATGCACCCTGGAAACATGTGGAATACAGTATATATACTTGTAGATACATACTCATTTATATATATATATACAGTTATATGTATATACATATGAATGTGTATATATATATATAAGTACATAAATATATATATATATTAATATGTAAATATAAATATTTAAATATAAATACATAAATATATATATATAAGTGTATATATACATGCATAAATATAAGTATATGTATATATTTACATATTTCTATATGTAAGTATATATATATATTTGAATTTGAACATAAATAGAAATACTATGTATATAAAAATATAAACAGAAAATATAAATAATATAAATATATTTAAATATAAATATATAAGTGTGTATATAAATGCATATATATATGTATATATACATATACATAAATAACAGTACGCAACTGCTACGGTGATGCCTGCATGTAATTTGAATGATCTCTTCTGCATGTAATATTACATCATTATTTCTTTCCTTTCTTGTTTCCTTCCTTTCTCGTCTCCGTCCTTTCTTCCTTCTTTTCTTTCTTCCTTCCTTTCTTCTTTGGTTCCTTTTTCTTTCTTCCTTTCTTGTTTCCTTCCTTTCTTGTTTCCTTCCTTTCTTCCTTCCTTTCTTCCTTTCTTCCTTCCTTCCTTTCCGTCTTCCTTCCTGTCTTCTTTCCTTCCTGTCTTTCTTCTTTTCTTCCTTTCTTTCCTTTCTTTCCTTGCTTCCTTCCTTCCTTTCTTCCTTTCTTTCTTCCTTTCTTCCTTTCTTCCTTCCTTTCTTCCTTTCTTCCTTCCTTCCTTTCTGTCTTCCTTCCTTCCTTTCCTTCCTGTCTTTCTTCTTTTCTTCCTTTCTTTCCTTGCTTCCTTCCTTCCTTCCTTTCTTCCTTTCTTCCTTTCTTCCTTCCTTTCGTCCTTTATTTTTTTTTGATGCATTTTTATTTTTTTTGATGCATGTTTATTTTTTTTTGATGCATTTTTTTTTGATGCCTACGCCGCTGAATAATACCTAGGTGTATTATATCATAAAATATCAAGAAATTGCACATCATAATAGGATAATAATGGAATAGCAACATCATATAAACATCTATCATATTATAACAAAAATAAAAATAAAAGGAATAAATTATTTTCCTGATAAGTGATCTTAATATTATTGTTCATCTTATTATTATAACATAATTATAACCATGATTATGAACAATATGAAGATCATGGTTTCACTGCTGATTCTCCTAGGCCTCCCATTGGTGGGACTTTTTTCATGCTGAGATTGTCCCACTTTGCAGCTCCTTGGAGAGTACGGCGGCATCCTGGCACGGTTTCCAAGCCGAGTGGCTAAAGCAACATCTGGCGCTTCCAACACACGAGACTATAGATGTCAATGGTATTCTGGTTGGTGGTTGACCCATGTTGACCCACCCCGAAAAATGATGGAGTGAGTTCGTCAGTTGGGATGATGACATTCCCAACCGAATGGAAAAATAACAGCCATGTTCCAAAGCACCAACCAGTTATGATTTTAGATTTGTGATTTACACATTCCCCATCTACGTACAGTTTTCTTGGATTTCCATCGCTTTCGAAAGATGGCCAAGTCTCAACCAGCTTGGGGAGCTCCATCGGTCTGTTTGCTGATACGAAACAACTCTCGAGATCTGAAAGCGGCCAAGAAATCCAGCCTCAAATCCTTCCGAAAGTCGCTTTGATTTAAAAAAAAACACATCAACCATCATCTACCAACATTAACCAACCACCCACCTGCCGCAGCGGTCCGTGACCTGCGCCAGGTAGGCGGCCACTCGGGAGGTCCGTTGAACTTCCGCTTCCAAGTCAGTGATCGGCTGCTGGGTGGCGCCGGACACCTCTGTCGCAATGGTGGTATATACTATTACTGTATTGTAATGACTATAATTACTGTATCATATCACTATATACATATATATATATATATAGTGATGTTTGTAAAAAAAAATGGAATTATAAAATATATATATATATATAAACACTCACGCCACTCCTTTTTTGCATTGCAGACCAAAGTTGTTACATATTAAACAATTGAAAACCGAAATAATCTAGAAGTGTCTTTCAGCGGGGCCCCGATATCCCTTCCCCAGCCAAACCTAAGGGAAGACATATCCCCCACCTGCCCCCCAGGACTCCGCCAAACCGGAGTGACCCTGAGCCTCGAGCAGATTGACACTTAAAATAAAAAATGTTGGTCCCCCCCCAAATTCATCAACACATTTTTCCACCTTTTTCCCCCGAAATTCTTTCTGGGGGGGGGGGGGTGGACCTTAAGCCAACAGCTATGTTATACAAACAGGAATGGCTTCATGTTTAATCTCGAATGTCGTAAGATCAAACACTCACGCCACTCCTTTTTTGCATTGCAGACCAAAGTTGTTACATATTAAACAATTGAAAACCGAAATAATCTAGAAGTGTCTTTCAGCGGGGCCCCGATATCCCTTCCCCAGCCAAACCTAAGGGAAGACATATCCCCCACCTGCCCCCCAGGACTCCGCCAAACCGGAGTGACCCTGAGCCTCGAGCAGATTGACACTTAAAATAAAAAATGTTGGTCCCCCCCCAAATTCATCAACACATTTTTCCACCTTTTTCCCCCGAAATTCTTTCTTTCCACGTCCCCCAGTTCTTCTCTTCTTTTGAAGAGATTGCTCAAGCTTTGGCGGACCTTGTAAGTAATTCGTAAGGACAGTGTGAAACGGTTGAAGCAACTTTTGGGGAATTTTCAGATCAGCTAACATGGCTAGGCCTGAATTCAAATAAATTTTTGCAGTTTTAACTGCAGTCCATCGTCCCAAGATGAGAACACGATCCAGGGATCCACACTTGACAAACAGGGATGTAGCACCTCCCCTTCTGAGTGAGTAGGGTCTGAAACCCCATTCTGAAATTTTTAGCCCCTGCAGACATTCATTAAACAATTGGCGCCACACATGTGGCTTTGCAGTTAAATAAGTGTGAGCAGGGACTTGTTGTTTCCAAAACCAAAGTAGTTTCAAAACACTCAACTCAGTAAGGGTCACACTTTCAGCAGCCCCCTGGCGTTTGCCAGATTTGGTGAGCCCCAAACTAATCACTGCAGGTTGGGAGTTGGAGGTCATGTGTATATTCCAGGCTTGCAGGTCCAGCAACTCCCCTGTGCGCAGCAACGTGTAAAATCCCACCAGTAAGGACAATCCAAAAGAAAAATGCTGATTGAAGACAGCCCACCCTACCACGGCTTTAAGGATCCCCTCAGTGAGAGGAGGGGCTCGGTTGGGAAGCTCGTTAGCAGTCCAGGTTTTCATCAATCTCCAGGAGGTCTGGAGATGCCCTTTCAGATGAGGGTCAAGATCTTGTAACCCAGCCAGCAAATTGCTTGCCACAGAGCGTCCTTCTCCCTCTGACCACAGGTGCTCGATGTAGTCACTAACCACGGCATCCAAGCTATCCCTGCGCTTTGGGAGCGATATGCCCTCCCTTTGCAGGTGATCATAGAACTGGTTGAGACTGGCTTGATAGCGCTGTTTGGTCACAGGTTGCACCGTCAATGATTTTAAGGTACCCAGGGTCTTGCGGACTTTTTTCCTATCTTCCTTTGTGCGGCCTTCAGCTACTTTTGCGGCTTTTTTAACCATTTCTTTTTGACCCCTCTGCGCGAGGGGCGATCCGCAGGGTTCTGGTGGGTATCTACGTACCCACAGGAGAGTTGAAGACCGCTTGATAGAAGATAGGCACTAATCCGCATAAGGGTGCGACGCATTTTTCGCGAAGAAGAGCGTCCGCGGGAGAGAGCGTGCAAAACAACAAGAGAATCAACCAGGTGCACACAACGCACATCACATTCTCTAAGCTGTTCAACCCTGTATTTGACCGTAGTCAAAACTGCCCTGAGTTCCAAAACATTGATGTGCTCGGGGGCGCCTGACCACTGCCACGACGCAACGGTTTTCCACCTCCAAAGCCTAGCAGGCACACTTGCACGGAGCCTATGAAACTTTGCCGGAGCATCTGTTGAACCTTGCAGCAGGATATCCTCACCTTTCAAGGAGACCAGAGAACAAAGGCGTTGAACCAGCTCTACGCTACAAGGGGCGCTCGCAGTACTACAGCTAATGGGGGGCCGCAGGAGAAGACTTTGCAGAGAACGACCCCAACCTGGAGTTAGCCTATTCACCACCTCTTGAACGCTTGTCGGTTCAACCAGCCCTAAAGGTTGCAGCAGCTTCACCAGCAGCCACGCCACAACAGGCACACACCATGAGTTGCCCAGCAAGCTCAGCCGGCAGTCCGTATGTTTTTCTGTTCCATGGTCCTTTTTGGGCAGGCACTGGATAGTGTATCCTAGGGGAAAACCCATGATGACCTCCCGCTCAGACACGCTTGGGATTCTAAAATCCCCTCGCGCATTTGACACGCAGTTTTCATCTTTGTACTGGTACGGGGGGAACCTATGACGATCGCTCCGCCAGCGCTCGAGCTCATGCCCCTTGCACGATTTGATGCCTGCCGGTCTCTTCAAGGGTGTCGAGCTTGGACGTGACGTAGTGAAAGTTGGCAGCCGCTGTCGCTCAGCTAGCGACCATCCTGTCTCCAGAAACATCTGGGAGTCCACCACGGCTTCCAGCTGGACCTCCCCTTGGATTGGGAGCCGCCCGTCACTCCCATAGCCCAAAGCGACTCCTTCTCCTGCTTGAAGCTCCCAGCTGATCCAGTAGAGCCGGGGCCGATGGCACAAAGCCACGCCATCGGCATCAATGAACCACGGCCTGTCCTCGAAGCTCTGGTTCATAGTTTCACAATCTTTGGCATCCATGGAAGCAACGCTCTCAGTCAGGGTGTGCACCTGGGCCCAGGGAAATGCCTTTCTGATCAAAGCGGTCACCCGAGGCACGTGCACGAAAAGATTGCTCCTCAAGTCTCTGAGGGCGCCTTTTCTGTCACAATTCAAGCCAGACACCCCCTGGCATGGGGGGCCAGCTCCCACGATGACTAGTCCCACGGATGGAAAGCGCATTGCCCATCTGCTGACCATCTCCGCGTCAATTAGGCAAACATCCTCCACTTGAAAAAAATCAGGGAACAAGCTTTCGACTACTCTCTGAGCCTCGCTGGACTTCTCTACTGAGACGTGACCCACCACAGGAACCTCCAAGCAATCCAGGGCTACCCGAAGGGCAGCAATGCCATCGAAGAGCCCCACACTGAGAACTTGGGAGAAATCGTGCCTTTCAGGCAGCTCCCCTCGTACCAAGCTGGTACTCGCGGCGCGCCCATAGGGGGTCAAAGCACGGGAGAGGACCACTCCCCCACCTGTGGTAGACGCATCGCTGGCCGTAACCAACTCCCCAAACCCCGAACGCAGGTTCATGAAAGAAAGAGGTATCAGACCTATGAAACGAGCTAGTTCAGCCACTACAGCAGGTGTCAGCCGCCGTCTTTGCTTAGCTTGTTGGGGGCCCACCTCAGTGATACTCCTCCAAATTTGATTTAGCCCCGCCAACAATGGTCGCCTGAACATAGCCACGTAGACAAACCCCCCTCCAATGACCTGTAATTCTCTTTGGGTTGCAGTGCCTCGCTCCAACAGCTCTATAGCTAAGGCAATGTAGCGGGCCACTTTGGATGGCTTCGCTGTTACAGTGCCTTTGACCCCATCAATCCAAGCCCCTTGCACTTCTGCCCTCAGCTCTTGCTGGGTGGATTTTTTGGGATGTCTTGGGAGGCCTTCCCTTTCATAAGCCTCCCTTAGGGCAGTGGCTACTCGAGAAGGGCTCCCCTCCAGGACTTCTGACAGATTCTTGTTGACTTTCTGCAGTTCGTCGAAGTTGTCAAGATAAACTCTAAAGAGGTGTGGGTGTACACTAAAGGGTCTATCTCTCCTAAGCTCCTGAGCCCCACTAAGAGGGGGTTGCAGGCTTCCCATGCATTGCCTCACAACTCTCCTATGGATGTGTTGTGCCAGGGCAACGCTGTTAATCCATCCCATTGGCAATACAGTGGCCACCAAATACCCCTCTTCATCCCCAAAATCTGAAGGCACCAGCGATCGGGGTGCAGGCTTAGCAAACCCGAAAAATCTCCACCAAGCCTCCGGAATCGCGAATAAATAGAAGAAGCATCTGATGTCCTCAGAGGAGATGCAAAGGTTTTCACTGGGGTCTAAGAACATGGTGCCCAGGTTTGTGACCATAGGAAGGGTGCTAGTATCACCTACCATTGGAGAACATAGGGCGTTGGCCGGCTTCAAGTTCATAATCAATCGACACACCTCCAGTGTTCCAATGAACTCCTGCTTGCTTACAGAAAAAAGGCCATTGAGCAAAGGCTTCCCCCCCACGTGGAACAGTGAAGATCTACGCAATACCCGACAAAGACCCCTCGCCACAAGGCCATGAGCGACTGTACTCCAATGGGCATCCGACACCATCACTTTAGGGGGCTTTGCAATGGAATCCGGGGGAGAAGCAATCATGAACTCTTCGAGGTGATCGATATAATATTTGACCCCCCCATCAACAAAGTCCCGAATGTCAAGCTGTCCAACTTCACTTGGGAGAGAAGCTTCCACTTCCTCCCATACCACTGGTCTAGCTACATGAACTTCATCACCCACATAGTCCAGTTGTTTGCAACTAAAGAAATCAGTGAAACTCATAGGGGGTAACAACTCCTCCAACAACCCTGAATCATGCACTACTGCTGCCAGCCTTTTTGCAACCCGAAAGGAGGTCGGGCCACCTCGTCCTGTGCCGCCTCCCCCATACAAATGGTTGAGGCTTCCCAAAAGAGCCACGAAAAACTGTCCTCGAGGGCCTGAGCCAATTAAAGATCCTGGGGCACAGATAGGGAAAAGTTTACTCCTATCGGCCATGGGCTCTGGTCTGCAATGAAACATTTCACATAACTTCAGGACCTCATTGACCAGTCCCCCGACGTCTGCCACTCGCGCTGGCTGCAAAAGTCCACGGCGCCATTTCAGGACACCTTCATGCAAAAGCCGGTGAAACTCTTGGGAGCTGCCAGACCCTTTAGCCTGCTCGCTCCCCTCAGCCTCCAACGCCGCTGCCTCAGCATTGGAAACCAACTCCTCTATATCATGCATAGTGATACCGCTGCCAATCTCTGCGCCGCCCATGCCACCACTCAAGCTGCCTCTGCCTTTCTGCGCTGCATCTGCACCAACGCTCGCCGCCTCAGCACTAAAGGAGAAATCAGGAAGGAGCACTGTCTCCACTGCAAATTGGGAGTTCGGCATAGGACTGTGGGTGCCTTTGGGATGGTGACTGTTCGACATGGGTGCTACTTTTTCTCCTTCTGCCATGTCTTTCCGTCGTCCCTTCTATCCGATCCTTTGCCCTTTGCGCTTTCGTCACCTTTCCCTTTGTTAGCACCTTTCCAGTCCTTGCCCTTTCTACTCCCCTTGCCTCCGCCCAGCGCCTCTGTAGATCTTGTCCCGGAAGGTCTGGCTGTCAACGACCTCAATCTTTCTTCTTCCCGCGCTCTTTTGGCTGCTTCCACTGTTTCGGCCTCCTCTGCCATCGTGCCGCCATCGCTCCTTACCAACTCCATTTGTCTGGAGACCGTCCAGTGGTTGCCACGGGAGGAAGATTCAAGGCTCTTCAAGCGTTGTGCCATAAGATCACACGCTCCAGCCACATGGCCTTGCAACATCATGTCCAAGGTCTGAGCGACCGTAAGAGCTTCTTGTGCCATTGGGGGAGACATATGCCCCATCAAGCACTGACGAGCATAATGAGTAAAGACCGGGTCCACCTTCTTCCGGTCCAACCCCCAAACTGTCCCAGCCGCGGTTAGAAGATGTTGCTTAGCCTCTGTAGCCGCTGAACAGGCTAAAGCGCCTGGAAAGCGCTTCCAGATTGTTCCCAGCTTCCGCTCATTGTCAAAGAGCCCAACTGAGGCGACAGGCCCGCTTGACACCGTCTCGCTGCTGCTGCTCCTCGAAGCTGATGAACTCGACTTGCTCTTCTTCTTTTTGCTCTTTTTGGATCTCCCAACCTTCCTTGCCTTCTTCAAAAACTTTCTCCTCTGTCGGGCTTCGGGATCCAGACCTGTCTTCTCGAACAGGAGCTTGGGAGATTTCTGCCCTATCTCCCATTCATCCTCACTTTCTGAACGCCTCCTCTTCCTCTGGGAGTCTTCTTCCTCCCGTCTCTTCTGCTTCTTATCAGCCTTCTTGACCTTCTCAGCCGCCTTGGGAGGCTTATCGTCTCCCCTCTCCCTTTCTTGCTTCCTCCTGGTCTCATCAGCTCTCAACGCCTCCAACTCATCGGCTTCACCTGCGGGAGCTCCCACTGATAGCAGGTTGGTGAACCATGGGTCTTTTCCCTGATCCACCTTGATAAAGCTCCTGCCATGCACTAGGAACTCATCTGTCAAGGCCCCCAGGCAATCCTCTTGGCACAGGTGAACTGTGAGCTGACGCTTGGGACGCCCGCTGAGCAAGCGCAACAAGGCATCATCTTGTGTGCCTGAGGCTTCAAACGTGCCCATGGGCTGTCCATCTTCCAGCCCGAGGTTGGTGAACTTCCCCACCAACTCAACCTCCCTGCCATAGTACCTGGCCTTTTTCAAATGAACGTAGCCCAGAGACCCGAGATCGCCCAGCCCTAGGCTGAGGCACTTCTTCTCTTCCTCTGCAGGCGGTTCAACTCGGGCTGCCGGGCGCCTAAGCCGTCCCACTCGAGCAGCCGGACGCCTCCCCACTACCTTCGGCGGCATCCTCCTCTGTCGTGCCTCCGGTCTCTTCTGCGATTGAACCGCTCTTGCTTGGCTCGGCGCACAATGCCTTTCGATTTCCCTACACTCCACCTCGCGTGGGAAGAGTAGGGTATCGGCCCTTGCCAACCAGGACCTTGAGCCCTCCCACTGCCACTGCTCCTGGCAGGAGGGGGATGGTCAGGTTCACGAGGAACCCTGCGATCCTCTCTTCTTGGCGGAGGGCCAGCTGGCTCCGGCGGCCTCTCTGGACGAGACTTCTTCTCCTTTCCCGGAGCTGACCTGGGAGTAACACTGGACTCCCTTCTTCTCCTTTCCCGCGAACGATCCGACCTATGGTCTCGGGATCCTCTGGCTCTCTCCCCGGAAGTCCTTCTCCGCGATCGCGACCTCCTGTGCTGCCTCCTTCGGCTTCTGCTGGCGTCTCTTCTCTTCCTTGATTCCTCCTTGGCTTCACTTCGCTTAGCTTCTCCTTCTTTCTCTTCTTCCTTGGGCGGCTTGGCCTTGATCTCCGCTTCAAGCTTCACCTGTTGTGCTCCGGCGGCGGGCACTCGTGGGGCAGCAGGGCAACTCTTCGGATAGATTCCGAGGTTGACTTCCTCGGGTGTCCTTTCAGCGCAATCTGAGGCAACAGGTTGGGAGGTGGGCGCAACACTCTCCCCTGGCTCGGTGGCAGCGACTTTCTTGGCAGCTTGGGAGGCTAGGGCAGCTTCCTCCCGTGGCGCAGGTGCAGCTGCTTTGCACTCAGCCGCAGCTCCAGGTGGCCCGTTGGCAGGAGTGGCAGTCCCCCCACCAGGCGCAGCACCAGGAGCAGGTATGGGAGCGGCTAGGCTCCCTTCACGCCACCCTCGGCGCGCTAGTTCGTCTCGGGCCTCAGCCTCAACCACCCTGAGCCGAGTGGCAACACCGTCCACAAAGAACGGAAGGCCGGTGCCCTGATCTAACAGCGAAAGTATGCGGGCAACACACCGGCACACGGCGCACTCACAATTGATTGCCGCGTGCCCCCCCATATAAACCTTAAGCCAACAGCTATGTTATACAAACAGGAATGGCTTCATGTTTAATCTCGAATGTCGTAAGATCATACATGCACACACACACAGACACACACATGGCCCTGCGGTTGCAAGTACACCAGTAAACTTATTTTCTGTATCTGCACATTTCATTGTTAAATCCTCGTGTTTTCCCACAAATCATTGTATTGGGTTGCAGTCCCAAATGTATGTGCCTACAAAAAATGTATAAAAATGTCATATCTTGGTAATCTCAAAGATCAAACAAATAGAACAATATACACTCTTATGTTTGTTTATGACTGTAAGAAAAAAAAACTTTCTTGGGGGTGCAGTTCCACTTACAATTACATGATGTATACTTATAATAGTTAGAAGGGTTATATTCCCAAGTTGTGATACTTGTGGAGGTTAGAATCATAACCATACCCAATACATCCCAATACCCATTTTTCACTGAGCGTTTCGCCGAGATTTCCTCTGAAGGCATGGATTGTCCGCGCTCCTTGGTAGGAAAGGCACCCGGAACCAACAGAAGAATGATGGATTTAATCATAAGAACAAGCCATTTAATAATCTTTAACATCTTTAACCATCAAAATAGGATTGAAGCAAGAAGTATAAAAAAACACTTCAACTGGCAAATTGGGTAAGATCTCCCGAAACATCGAGTTTCAAGCTGGGAAGCCATCCATTAGAAGGTGAATTTTTTTAGGCCTCACCCCAAGCCCTGGAACCCAAGTGGGGAACGTCCCTGTCGCTACCATTTTGCTGCATTTTTGCTACGGGTGCCGCTCCAAAACAAATCCAAGGTGGTTGACAGCCCGCAGTGATTGTTGGAGGGGGGAAGCTGCCTAGCTCCCCACTCGGTTGCCTAAAAAAAACAACATGGTCAGTGAGTTTTTGCCGAAATTCTCCACGCCCTCTTACCACCATCTTTTCGGAGTCTTCCCCTCATCTTTGGACCCACCAAAACCGAAGCATTGCAATTTGCCAAGTGTCAGCAACCACTCCAAAGCCCCCTGCAGGCGCCGCAGCTGCTGCCTGGGGAATAGAAAGATATAGAAAGGGGTCAAAAGCCCCTGAACAGCAAAAATACTCCATTGGTTTTGACGCATCCCTACATTGACCAACCAACATGGGGATGTTTAATGTATTGAACACCTATACTGAACATATATAGAAATCAAGGGGAAAAAAGTGCAAAGGCCATCGTTCAGAACGGTGGCGTTGCCGCTTCCAGGTTGCTTAGAGTATGTTAGAGTCATATGGCTATGGATCAATACCTATAAGTACCATTTTTAGGGTGATGAACATCCATTTACCAGCTATTTTGATGTTCACCAGGGGTACAAGGTTTTGACACACTGCCATATGGAAGAATTGATAAGCTGTGGCCATGCTTCTCACTGGGGCTAGACTCTCATTGGAGAAGAGAAAGCCCCTAATTATAGGACTAGAATGGTTTGAACAAGTACTGGATTGGTTCTCCCTATGAAACCCCAAATTATACTGGGCAGGGATGGAGCCTGCGTGCACATAAAAACAATGTGCGTAGCAATTCTTGGGCTCCGGGATGAAAAAGAAATAGAAAATCTACCAGGTCAGCCTGCCTATGGGGTTTCACATTGATTCAGTTTTCAACCATCCCGTTTTCGTGCACCAACTTGTAAACAAACTTGGCTGCAAGCCAAGTTCCACGGAAATGGATGATTTTGTTGACCTACGTCACGAACTGACATCTCTCAAAAGTCGATTTATTGATTTATTTATTACATCCCTAGATGGAATGAACGGCCCATTTTGATCAGCGATGATTTCAAGATTCATCGCAGGACCCAAAGATCAACTGGGTCCAGGCACCAAAATGTTGCTTGAAGGAGCCAAGTCCTGGCGATGTTTGACGGCAGCTGCACTCGGATGATCTGAATTTGGGAGTGATGAGCTGCCAATCCTGATTGGGCTATGAATAAGATATCACCCACCAAAGATCTCCAAATATATCCAGACATATACAAAGATTTCCCAAGATATGAAAATACATAGAAAATCGATCTAAATACATCTAAAGATATCCAAATATCCCTTTCACCCATGGTAATCCACTTGTTCCGATGGATCTTCGTTAAGCAAGTCCTGATATCGCGTTAAGATGGGCTCTTCGCCTGCGGCACGGGATGAATTTGGCATCAGAATGCACTAAGTGTGACCAGTGTGACCAGTTCAGGTCTGAAGGCACCTTGAAAAAATGTGATCAATCAATATACCCTCTGGTAATGACTAACAGTTTGCTATTGAAAATATGGTGATTTAGTTCGTGGATTTACCCATTGATAGCATGGTGGATCTTTCCAAGTCGTTCTGTAAACGTTTACCATTTCGGGTAAATCATGGTAAATCAAGGATCAATTTGCGCTTAAAGTACGTATGATGGATACAAAAAGTACCCTCTGGTAAACTAACATAACTATGGAAAATCACCATTTTCAATGGATAAATCCACTATAAATGGCCATGTTCAATAGCTATGTTAAATTGCCAGAGGGTACATCTCAGTAGCATCCAGTGTGTCCTGCAAAAATCCCAATCTAAGCCTCGGGTAGATGTCGTAGCATGGCACATTTTGGTTTCGGGGGGCCACCGGATAAACGTCCATTCCCCGAGTTCACGAAGTTCACCCTTAATCTGTTTAGAAATATATATATATATATACCATGGAAAATGGCCCATTTATAGTGGATATTTACCTATTAAAAATGGTGATTTTCCATGGCTATGTTAAATAACCAGAGGGTATATATATATATATATATATGGCTATGGATCAATACCTATGAAAATACCATTTTTAGGGGGTTATTCACATCCATTTTAACCCAGCTATTTTGATGTGAACAGAAGGGGTACTATTGGTTTTGACACACTGCCATATATATATATATATATAGCCTCCAGTAAATTAACACAGACCCTGGCAGAAAACGGGGTTGGAAGATGATTTTCTACTGAAAATGGGTTGTGTTCAGGGTCTATGTCAATTGAACAGATGGTAAATATGGGTGAATAAACATGTGTCCCACGTTTTTCCCTTGGAAGAGAAAGCTCAGAATCGCCCCTACTGAGTTGTCCACAAACCCACGATGAGGCGCACAGCGGCACCTGCTACCATGAACAGCCCTGAGAGGAAGGCAGCACACCAAAGCTGCTGCATTCTCCTGTCATGCAGAGCTGCCTGGGGGTTTCAATTCATCATTGTCGCACTCAAAGATTCACCATCATGTCAAGTTTTAGCTGGGTATCATGAACTTCCATCTTTCCCTATTGATTGGAAAAAGATGTGTGAAAAGAAAAACCCACCCAAGCAAAAGTTCATCCACACATTCACACGTTGGGGAAGATGTGTGATCGATGGGGGTAGTCACAATCACACTGCGTTCATAAAGTGGGTACAACTCCATGATACTGCAGCCCAACAACTTGATGATGCAACATGATTTTCTACATGATTTTCTACATGATTTTCTACATGATGCAGCAAAAATTCGGGTACATGAGTACATGGGTACTACTATGTAGCTTATGAACCACCAAGTCATCCACGTTTTGCCCCTACTGGCGCTCCTGTGTAGCGGCACACTTTCGTCAGCGAATTAAGGGCAATTCACCTCACAAACACGGGACCAAAACAGACGAAAACTGGCTGCGCTCATCTGACGGAATATTTTGATGGGTCATCTGATGGGCTGTGGAAATCTGAGAGAAACTCAGAAGAACCCTTCAAATTTTCATGCCGTTTGACGGAATAATTTGGAATAATACTACATTCCTCACCTATTCGACAATCAACAAGACATATAACCAAACCTAAGGGGTTCGCAGGTTAGCATTGCTGGGCAACCTGTCAAGAGCTCGGGTCTCCTTTGTCTCAATTGGGTCCCTGGTGAAAACGCCCTTGCAGCCACAAGCACAAAGGAATGTACGCTGAAAAAGGATCAGTATCGAATCATAGAGCTGTTGGCTTGAGCCCAAACGGTGGCGAAGTCACCATCTCGTACTGGGCATCATGCTTGGGAAATCCCACAGCCACCTTCAGTAGAAACGATGGTGGCAGCTTAAATACTGCGTGATTTTTCAAAAGGAAGTGCACATCTCTCCACGTTTCCATCGAATTGGTCACGTATTTCATCGTATTTCTCCAGGAACGGAAACGGAATGGCGGTTTACTGCAGTGTCATGCTTCCATTCCCATCATTCACAGCTGTCATTTTCCAGGCCATTGGATCTCTGCGGGACAGGCCAACAGGCCATGCCATGACTATTTACATCGCACCACTGGCAGATTCAACCGTCAAAGTTCTGTCTGCAATCTTTGAGCCCATTGGATGGTTTAAGAAAAAAAGGTCATATGATGTCACTGCTATTAGCAGTGTTGTTCTTCAGAAATATCTTTTTTTCTGCATCCAGAGCCCAGTTTGAGACCATTAAATGAAATAAATGGTTTTCTATCCGGAAAATCACCGTTTTTGATGACCATGAGATCATTTGAGGATGATTGCCACGATCCTGACCCTCTTTTTGAGTGAGGTTCCGACATGAGGTCATTATATTATAAATTAGTATAATTTATCCAAGTATGATATTATATAGTGATACTGGTGATACAATACATGTATACAATACAATATAATATATATATATATATTATACATTTATATACATACCATTACATACCCATCATAGAAACTTTTTGTTGAATCCAGGACTTCCCCCCGCACTGGCTGTCACAGGATCACTGCGGAGGTCAGGCACAAGGTACCAAAGGCTGCGGCCCAGAGAGGCAGCGAGTTTTCCGATCTTCTGCCGTCCTGGGGAGGAAAATCCCCTGGAAAGTCCACTGGAAAGGTCCGAAAACCCATGGCTTTTCTGAAGAGATTTAGGGGATGGTCCTGGAAAATTGTGGAAGAAATTCTGGGACACCTGAAATTGAGGCTACAGATGGCTACAGCCCACCTTCTATGATCTTTCAAGGGGCTTATTGACTAGTGGAAGAAGCAAATGAATGCAAATGACTGAAAGCACCAGAATACCGAAACGGTTCATGTTGGGTAGAGTCCTCTTCTACACCTTCTATCCCCCCAATAACCCCCTGCCCCTGTGAGGGAAGCCTCCTTTGGGCGAAAGGCATCTACTGACAACTGTGTCTGAACCTCGGTGTCCAGGCAGGAAGCTTTTCAGAGTCGGAGGCCAAAGGGGTTCTTTTTGCCTCGGCACCCTCTCCAGAAACTACAGAAAACCAAGGCGGTAAACAATGTCTCTGTAGCCTAAGCTGTCTGGTGCATAGAATTCAACTGAAACCTGAAGTGATAAGCTGTATCTATTCAATTGCCATACAATTTAAAGCCAATCTCTTGTCACATAGGGGTAACCCCCCTCTAAACCTAACCTGTCTAGTGCTAATATATCTAAAATTTTCTAAATATTATATATATATATATATATTAATATGGTTTTCCAGTTGTTCATGGTTTTCCAATCTCCCAACCGCAATCCTCATGGATTTTTCCGCCCAAAATCAATTCCACTGGAGCGGGTGTCCCAACTCTGAGCTGCTGCAAGAGCTCTTGACCCCGCTCCAGTGTGGCCTGCGGTGCATCAAGGTGCACCCTGCGGTGCACCAAGATATGTGGACCTGGAATGAGACATCACTCTTCCATCTATAAACGAATTCACCACATGGATCAGTTGCTGCCAGGATTGGAGGAATGGATGGTTGACAGCTGATATTGATGATCAGAATGATCCAAAATGACCAGCTCCCGACAAAAAAAAAGGACCCTCAACCACCGGCCCGGCCGGTTTCGCTCAACCACCCCATTCCGGAGCTTCAACGGAACCTCCCAAGGCGATTTGGTGATCCACCTGGCCGCTGTTCAGATGTCACCGAATCAAAATCCAGGAATTTGACCCAAATGTTGAATCAATGTTTAATTACTGTTTGTACAGTATATGTTTATATAAGGAACATGCTGATAAGCCATTGTTAGGGTGAGTATAATCATGATGCAATGATTGGGATGAAACTCCAAGACGTTGAATTAGTTGTGGCGAATCAATTCATCATGGTGCTTCCAATTCCGATTAGTCATAGCCAAGCTCATATACGGTCATATATACGGTACAAACCACAAAAACAGTTTCTGGCGGACATGAAATAGTAACAGTGTCCTCCATTTATCTGGGTAAATTATTTTTTTTCACTAACCTGAATTAAGGCCATTTGGGGATGATTCCCCTTATTAACCATGATTCCCAGTGAGGTCGTAGTGAGGTCGTTATAATTTACCCAGATTTATAGCTACAAAATTCTAAAAATAAAAATGAATCGATGGTCACCTACCCAACAAAGGCTGTTTTTCAGTTGTGATGAAGTCTTTGCATGATTGCATGCTGAATATGATCCAAACGGAAGATCAAACAAATGTGATACCCTCTGGTAAACTAACATAACTATGGAAAATCACCATTTTTAATGGGAAAATCCACTATAAATGGCCATTTTCAATAGCTATGTTAGTTTACCAGAGGGTATGAATTCAATTTTGCATCTGATTAACAATTTCACTTTTGAATTTTCGGAATGGAAAATGCCAATCAAAATTTCGGAATGTTCGCACCCAGGCTCGTGAATCAAACACAATTTAGATCTCGAAAGTAGATTTTCGACTTGGACGAAGTGAAGCAGTCACAGCAATCCTGTTCGTATCTGTTCATACAGTGAAAAACAAGTTGTTCATTTGTCCATCTGTTCAGCGCGCGTTCAATCGTCATGGAAAACGTGTTTCTGAAACGGACGTGACGTTTGAATCCATTGATGCCATGCCTATTGATTTCTTGTATGCTGTCCTCAACAAAGTGAAGAATCCATCACCACTGAAACCACGCTAGCATGATTTGGGGACTCTCGCAGTTCATAAGATTCGAACACTTCAGAGGCAGACTGCTGAATGCTGGGAAACCATCCCAGCGCCGAAATCATGTGAGAATGTTATTATACAGGATTCAAACCATGTTTGGTGCAGAACTCTTCAATATCTTCGATGACCGGGAAAAGAGCCGAAACAAATCGAAACGAAACAAATGGTCGTGAATGCTTCCCAAGTGGTCCAGCATATTTTGGACACATCGAAAAATCTTGGTGTTTTTCAACCCATCAGAGAAGAACATCCCTGATAAAACACGAGGAAAACACATCATGAAAACTCTATTCGCAAAATCTCATCGTTTGTCCACGGGTGTTGATCCACTGATCCACCATGAAAATAGGCTACAAACCCCAAAAAACAGTGATAAAATGTGAATCATTATTACCCTCTGGTAAACTAACATAACCATGGAAAATCACCATTTTTAATGGGAAAATCCACTATAAATGGCCATTTTCAATAGCTATGTTAGTCATTACCAGAGGGTAACCATAATATCCATCTCCATCTCAGACGCAAAACCGAGCTGAAAGCAGGTCAGGTGCACTCCGAGCTGAGGCTTGGAGTGGATACATTGCCTCAGGTCCATACCGTAATCATTGGGGGTACCCAAAAATAGCTGGATGGTTTATGATAACCAAAAAAAAACATTAAAATGGATGATTTGGGGAAGTTTTCAAATTTCTGGAAAGCCTCATTTCTACAGTAAGTTTCTAAGTATACTTCTTGTTGTGGAACTACATCCCCAAGTCTGGTTTAATTGGCAACTTACAATGGTAAATTACAGTCAGATGACATCAATGGGATCCCATCAGCCCTTTCGTGCCCCTTTCGTGCTGATCAATGTTGGGATAATTTCCAAGGGAAATACATCAGCAATGGATCACCTCAAAGCAATTCGCTGCCTACTTGTCACAATTGAGAGGAAATGTTCATGGGAAATGTTAGGTGCGGTGTGGCTTCGAAGAAAAATTACTCTGTTGTGGAGTTTGTACACTGGAGCCCTCATGGAATAACTCACCAGAATAATGGGCTTAACAGTCGGCATGGGGTCCATATGAGCGACAACTTTTATTTGGTACATGTGGAAAGGAAAGGACATTAAAGGAGATCCCGATAAACATCGTTTACCCTCTGGTAATCTAGCATATGGATGGGCCATGTTCATTCATTTTCCATAGCTATATGTTAGATTTCTGGAGGGTACACAGTTTGTTTCCAAGACGTTGCTTCTGCTGCTAGCCTCCCAGTGCTGTCAACAGCGTGACCTCTTTCCGCACCGACCGATCCTGAGGCAAACCTGCTTACTGCCGAATACTACTTTCAATTGTCCTAAGTACATGCTTTTCCTCATACATATGGAGGTTTCCTAAATTTGGGGGTACCCCAAAATCATCCATTTTACTGAAGTTTACTGTAATTGGATCTTCATTGATGTTCCATTATAAACCATCCATTGGGGGTGCCCCCATTTATGGAAACCCCCATATGTCTGTGGTGCCAACATGCTTCCGCCTGAGTCTCACACGTCTCAGCCACCCATCCGTAGCGACCTGCTTGTCGTCAACAAAATGGCTGCCTTGAGTCCACATCCAAAAAACTCAATAGGGTTGAGTTGATCAACATGCCAACGTTATCCAACGTTCACATCCATTCCACATCCATTTCAGCATTTTGACTCATCTCCAAGTGATGCTACCTCCGCTTCGGAACCCGGCCAACGGCCTGCTTCGCAGGTGACACTGGCAGCAGATTCTTTTGAAATCGAGGCCTGTCGCGTGGTGTTTGAAAGAGCCATGCTACAGGGTTGCTCCCAACACTGCAGAAACTGGTGAAATTCAGAGCTAAAATTACCGATTTCCCCCGCTTGTGGCTATCATTCACATATATTGGAGCAACCCTGTGGTGACTTCAAATAGTGGGAAATAGTGATAATGAGATGTAATGGCATAACTGCATAATCATTTCATGGGAAAATAATGGTAATACAAAGGGAGGCAATGGGATGTATTGGGAATATAATGGGATGCAATCGGATGTAATGGGAATATTTATCATGGGATGTAATGGGCATATAATGGGATCTATACAATGGGATGTGATGGGAAGTGGGATCGTGTATGTAACAGGATGTACAACCAACAAAATGATTTCTGGCCTTGTCCAAAAACGTGGGGTGGGATCCTCAATTAATGGCCACTTGAATGGGAAAATGATGATAGTGAAAAATGGGATGGAATGATGGAAGATGGGATTCAGGGTGGGGGACCCTATTTTCAGACAAACCCCTTTGAGCCGCTAGGAGCAAATCTATGATTTTTGAGGATAGCATGCTGAGAATGAGGAAAAGCCCAGAAAAAAATGCCCAGATGCCCCTTAAAAAAAAACCCAAGCACCAAAATTGGGACATTAGTTCTGCACCAAAAACCCGGGACCCGTCTGGAAGCTTCATCCAGTCCCAAGCCCCAAAAAAACGTTCCGTTGCAGGCAACTCATCGACTGTCGTGGTGGATTTTCCCTCAGGCAAGCCTCATGTTTGATGGTCAAATCCTGTCAAGATCACCATATTTATCGCAGTTTCTCCTGCCTCCGTTTATCGCTTACTGATGGAAGCCCGATCTTAGTTGGTTGACACCTCAAAAAAAATCGTTCGTCCTTAATAATCCCTATAATCCCAAAAAATTTCTTCCGAAGATCTCCACGCAGATCTCCTCCCATCCCTTCCCAATCCCCTGCCCATCCGGCCTTCCGGTGGCCGCCAGAAACTCCGTCAACAACGTGGAGCTGGGGCTTCGGTCGAAGAGATCGGACCGGAGCTCGGGATGAGCCTGGCTGCAGATAAGACCCGGGAGGTTTCCTATTTTTAAGATGGAAAGATATGGAAAGATGAGGCAAACATAGGGATAACATTGGATATCAATCTTTGGGAGATACAAAATGCACAAAAGCCTCGAGACTGACTTGAGATATATGATTGAAGTGAAACTCATGGATACTTCATATGTTTGAGGTCCGAAGAAGTTGACTTTGGATCTTCCAAAGTCCGAACCGGTTGTGGTGGACACACCAAACCTGATCGGTGCTTGAGCCACCCTCTCTCCAATCCATCATCCCAAATTCAGAATCGCACGGATAACATGTATACATGTATGTATGTATGTATGTATGTATGTATGTATGTATGTATGTATGTATGTATGTATGTGTGTATGTGTGTATGTGTGTATGTGTGTATGTGTGTATGTGTGTATGTGTGTATGTGTGTATGTGTGTATGTGTGTATGTGTGTCTGTGTGTATGTGTGTATGTGTGTATGTGTGTATGTGTGTATGTGTGTATGTGTGTATGTGTGTATGTGTGTATGTGTGTATGTGTGTATGTGGGTATGTGTGTATGTGTGTATGTGTGTATGTGTGTATGTGTGTATGTGTGTATGTGTGTATGTATGTATGTATGTATGTATGTATGTATGTATGTATGTATGTATGTATGTATGTATGTATGTATGTATGTATGTATGTATGTATGTATGTATGTATGTATGTATGTATGTATGTGTGTGTTGTATGTATGTATGTATGTATGTATGTATGTATGTATGTATGTATGTATGTATGTATGTATGTATGTATGTATGTATGTATGTATGTATGTATGTATGTATGTATGTATGTATGTATGTGTATGTATATGTATATGTATATGTATACAAGGAGGGGCCACAAGTACGACACTGGCTCATGCTGCCGAATCAGGCCCTTTTTCTGTCCCCCACGAGTGTCTGCGGTGGGCCACAAACCTGAGCTGCAGAAATTCAAGCAACAAGGCGGAGAGATATATGCAGAAAGCACCGGCAGAAACAAAGGCAATGAAATGCAATCAGAGGCAGAGGGAAAGAAGTCATACCATCATCCTCCCCCATGCCCCTCTAAATCAATGTTGTTTTTCGCAAACTGGAGACTTGCTGGCATCCAAATATAGTACAGCGTCACTGCCGCGGATCCAGGTCCAATGAAACAATCAACTTTGATTTCGGGGCGAGGGGTTTTTATATGGGGCTGGGTACTTTCTATGTTGTCGGGAGAAACATGCAAAACGGATGGACCAGTGACAGCGGCTCCTTTAACATTTAATTAGGTGCAGTCAGCACACAGCTAGACACTCGGGAATCCTGCAGCAAGAAATTTTGCTACATTTTTCCCTCCAGAGAGTATGAACATGGTGAAGCAACATGGACATGCCGGGATGTCCTTCAAATTTTCGATTCTATGCTGGAAACGGTAAATGGTCAGTCTGGACCGGAGCATCAGCAACTCACTCTCGGACCAGCACCCTTTCGGCACAAACAACGATTGCCAGTTACATGTGAGAAAAGTGGGTTGTGTCGGTCGAAAATCCAAATGGCCACTGTACAAGTTCAATGGCCGATTGATGCGTAGCGTCGCACTTTCCAACCATAATAAGGTACTGCTGACATCCAAGGCTCCATGGTCAGGTCTCCAATCATCTAAAATGACCACTTGGGACTGCGGCAAATCTAAGAGAGGATACGACCCTCGAGCTGGACAGGCGAACACCTCGGCTGCTCTGAGGAGGGCACATCAACGTCTGGCCGTCCAAAAAGGGGAGGCCACAAACAAGGAAATAAGGTCTACCATGTTAAGAATGCATGGCAAGAGTTGGGTATTGTTGGTCCCCATAGTTACAGGTTGATAGATCTCGATGGTACCAAGGCGTGAAAATCCCGTTACAAGAATCAATTCCCAGTTACTGGACTCGTCTCGGGCATAAACAAATATGTGCATAGTACTTGAGTCCCCCCGGGGGGCAGAAACTTGTCCGCAAGTGGATCTTTTTAAAAAATATGATCATTGGGAAACGGGTGAGGGTCAGAAACCATGTGATGTGAAAGCGGTAGCCAAGGCACGCGCTGGAAAATTTCACGCAATGGCTTCAAAATGAAGCTTTTGCCCTCGTTTCCGGAACCTGTGAAGCATACTGCATCTCCCTTCTTCTGCATGCCCAGCATGAGGGCCTGACGCAAATGTTGGCAAAGCTGCCCCTCCTCAATGTTATTGTTGCGGAGAATCTCGCGAGCTGCTGGTGCCCAAGTTCTGTCACAACAACACTGTCGCCCCAAGGCGGCAGTGACACGCTTCCACGTAGTTGTCTGAGAATCTGCGATGACGCGATCACATGATTCTAGTGTGCAGCACATGGCGACCTTCTCTCTGATGGTGTTGTTTGTGCGGAAGAGGTAGTTCAGCAATCTTTCATTTCCGGAATTTCGCCCATGCTGAAGGAGTTTAGCAAGCAGGACAGGGTCATCGACAGTGAGCCCAAGCTCTTTCACTATTGGCCATAACTCCAAGTCAGAGAATTTGCATGGCCCACGCTTGCCCGCAGACCAACGCTGCAAAAAACGCTCTGCCACCTTCTCTTCAATTGCAGTACTGTCCAAGACCCCATTGATCGCATCTAGAAGAGGCGGATGCTTCCGGCCCCCACTGCACCACAACAAGGGATCTTTGTCCAAGGCGGACAGGCCCTTCTTGTCAGATGGCAACCAGAGGTACCGCAAAATATGGGCATATTGCATTTTTCTGTGCTTGCCGTGGTCATCAATAGCAATGTTGGCAAAATGAGCAATGTAGCCAGCTTTCGACAACTCTTTTTTCCATCCAACCCATCGACAAGGGTGCGACAATGCTGTCGGCACATGGAAGTGCCACTGTCCACTGCCATGCGTCTCCCGTCAGCATATTGTGTGATGAGATGATATAAGGATGAGGCTCCGGGAGGTGAGTGTCAATTTGCGTGGTGCAATCCTAATGTAAATGGAGTAATCAGGGTAAGGGGTGGCGAAATAAGGGTAAGACTTCCAGAGTGCAATCCCAATGTAAGTGAAGCAAATAAGGTTAAGGATTCGAAAAATACAGGGAAGACTTCCGGACTGCAATCCTAATGGAATTGGAGCAAATAAGGTTAAGAACCTGGAAATTCACAATCAAAAGAATTAGATGATTCTATTCATTTTCTTATTATGTGGACTTTCTTAACCGTATTTTGCTCCGTGCCTACAGGATTTGCCCAACAAGCTCCTAACAGTATTTTGAGATGTCTTAACCTTATTTGGCTCCGCGCCTATGGGATTTGCTCAACCAGCTCCTAACAGTATTTTGAAATGTTTTAACTTTATTTTGCTCCGTGTCTATAGGATTTGGCTTCAAAATCTGTTCTCCACACCAAGGGTAAAATGGCAAGGGCGGAACATTTGATCAGCTCAAACCGCATGGCCATGAGAATTCTGACTTTGCCAGAGGCCGCAAAAGATAAAACACCCAAAGTGATTTCGGCACATGAAATTGGGATTGGCGAAGGATTCAACATGGGAACCTTTGAACCTGATGCCTTGATTGAATTCACATTTGTCTCTCCTTGCAACATTTTCGAACGTAACACTCCCTGACATGTCGCCCTTGGCTTTCCAAACAGTCACTTTGATGACCCAATAAGCGGCTTTTTTCAAACAGGCGCAAGGATGTTGACTTCAACGCCTTCGGCGTATGCATCCGCATAGCTCACCTTCTGCTTTTGAAGAAAATGAGGACGATTTCTGCTGCAGCTCAACCGCATCCTTTTCGGAAGCATGAATGCTGTAACCTCACTCAGCTGCACGGCGAGCAATGAGCCAAGCCAGGTCACCCGTCGTTAAGCCTTGGGCTTTTTTCATGAGACGAGATCTGCGGCGAACCTGGCAAGAAAGATATTGACAGGCGCGCATGCAGTCACATGGCCAACGTTTGTTGACATGCATCAACCCTGGCAAGCTCAGGGCTCATGTCCCCCACAAGAATGAGAATTTGAGTGGCACCTGCCTCCTTGCGAATCTCTTTGGTCGATTCTTTCAGCTGCTGCTTCAGCACGGCCCTTGCTGCGCGTAAGGCTGGCAACTGGTCTTGTCCACGAGTGAGTGGTGCAGCTCCAGCTGGCACTGCGGCAGCTGGTGCAGTGGCAGCTGCATCATCCGACATGGTAAAAAGAGAAGTAGCTGAACCACGGTGGGTTCCAAACGCTTGAGGCTTTTGTAGCAAAAAGGCTGCAGAACCCATTGGTCATCCCAGCTGCCCTGATGCATTTCCTGTACCATCTGCGTTGCATGTGAAGATGTTTGGGTAGTTTTCTGGTAAAAGTATCAAGAAACAGTTTATAAATATGTGTTTATACTATGACAAGCACGGCTTGGAACCATCACTGATACAGGGCCTACATTTCCAGCCCCCTAAAATGAAACCTTGGAAGCTTCAAGGCCATGGGCCCTCACAGTATGTATATGTATATATTACATACACATACATACATGTATATAATATTATGTATATATGTATATACCTGAATACCCTCAGGCCGGGGGTGCCGCCCAGAGGTTTATCATGGGACCAACTCTTTACATATGGTTTTTTTAGGGGTTCATTGTTTTGTTTTTTGAGTTTTACATACCACGGTTTCAATAAGATGTTACTTTCAAGGCTTTCTTGCGTTTCATGTCAGATTTAGGTTTTAGGATTTGGATTTGGGGTTTAGGGTTTTGTGTTTTGGAGACAAGTCTCGTCAGCCAAGTTGCCATCTCACCGACGTACCAACATGCAAAAAACACTGGCCATGCGCAGTTAAAACCCACTTCGCCGGGCAGCACCCCCGTCCTGGCCGTATATGCATTATATATATATATACATACCTGTGTATGTATCTTATGTTATTTATGTTGTGTGATGTTATGTTACGTTATGCTATGTTATGTTATGTTATGTTGTGTGATGCTATGTAGTGTAATGTAATGTAATATATCTATGTATGTATGTGTTGAAAGTCTCAACATTTCGGCCAATACATGCTGAAACTCCAGCTTCACATCTGATGCTTCCTCTGTTCCAAACAGCCATTTTTTCGGGCCTTCAGCTGCAGAGGATTGAACCTCAGAACTCTGAAAACTGAATTTGATCATGCACTAAGTTTTTTTCATTGTCCTAAATCCTTTACAAAAATCCGAACTTCAAATGACATTCCATAAAAATCTACTGCAAAAATCAAGGGGCTGATCTGGGGATTCTGGGGGAAGCAGTGGCCCATTTCTTCACCATGTCTGGGAAGAAACACTGCAGCTTGGGGCACCCAACCAGCTAGTGAAGGATTGCACCTCGATTTTGCCGGTGCCAGGAACTACTGCGGCCTCCCTTGTGGCGCCCATGGTCTTTTGTATGAAATGTAACGCTATGCGGCAAAGGATGAGAAATGAACATGTATATAAGTATACATATATATATATATCAGCCATTATCAGCCATTATCAGCCAATTTTGCTGGAACTCAAAGAGTACTGAATGGGTAAGAAAAATAGAACATGTCTCGAAAACATCAACCAGTCGGCCGCAAATGATGGCCCAGGACCCAACCTCGATTTTTCTACTCGAATGACAGTCATTTTGAATGGATTGCCCTGATTGCCCTGACCGAGCGCCAGAAAATGTGAGATTGTGTGAGATTTTTTGAAGGTTCAAACTCCAGAATTATATCATTTGTTGTATACTCCATATTGTAGTGATATACCATTTTGTTCAAACTCCAGATGGTTTGGAACTCAGCGTGAATTCACTACCTCACCTGATAATTGTATTGTCACCGGATCCTCCTGTTCATTCGTAATGATACCGCATCATTCTCCCTCAATCCGAAATATCCTCAACCATGACGACCGAAGCAAATCAACAACAGGACGAAACAACAACAATCGCTCACTCACAGCAAGTGGTCCTTATTTTGTATCTCCACAAAGGATCTATATAACTTTCAATACCACCCAATATATATCCCAATATCACCTAGTTGTTGAGAATGCGCTTCAGAAGATTGAAGTGTACATCACCATCAAGATGCTGGGGTCCCTCGCCATCCTCGCTTCCCGTTCCTTTTTGGGACCATTTTTTCCCCGGCTATCCCTGGTGCCAAGTGGCCGTTTCCGGAGACGAGGGCGACAGCCGCTCTAACTTGTCCAGTGCATGGAAAGTGAAGCGATCGATCACTGCCTCTCTGGTGCGTCAATGGCCCAGTAATAAACCCATTGTCTGGGGATGGATTTTTGCCCATCTATAGCAATATAAGGGATGGCTGTTGGGTTTACCACATTACTTTCTATGCGTCTGTCAGTAGATTGGCTGAAAATCTTAACCAGAAAACCACGGTTTTCCCCATCAAACATAGGGGTTTCCTGTAAATTCTGCCTTAAGCCACTCCACTGCATCTGTGAAGAATGAAAGGTATCTTCCACTTCACGAACCACGGGGAGTCGAATCAACAAAACTCGAGTAGTTCACCGATGATGGGAACAGAATCCAAGCAAAATGCGGATATCACCCTTTAACCCACAAAAACAATGGAATGAGAACGGATGAAATGCGACCTATATGTCATGTACGTACTGTATGCATACATATGTATGTATGTATATATATACATATATATATATACATATATATATATACATATATATATACATATATATATACATATATATATACATATATATATATATATGTATATATATATACATATATATATACATATATATATACATATATATATACATATACATACATACATCACTACATGTATATACATATGGCATATAAAACATACAAACAACCAACATGCCATGGGCACGCCAAGGTACGACACCGATCTCGTGGTCGATGTGGTGGCTGTAGCTGTTCTCCTGAAAAGCTGGACCTGTGGATATATAATGATTATAACATATCAGGTTGATATTATATACTACTGGCATCATTGTTATTGTTTTTGTTATTGATATTTACTATGTATATATATATATATACACTCTATATATATAGTATATATATATACTATATATATACTATATATATACTATATATATACTATATATACTATATATATACTATATATATGTACTATATTTATATATTATATATATACTATATATATATACTATATATATATACTATATATATATACTATATATATACTATATATATGTACTATATTTATATATTATATATATACTATATATATACTATATATACTATATATATACTATATATATACTATATATATACTATATATACACTATATATATATACTATATATATATACACTATATATACTATATATATACTATATATACACTATATATAGTATATATATACTATATAAATGGTATATATATACTATATATATAGTATGTGTATATAGTACATATATACTATATATATATACTATATATATATACTGTATATATACTATATATACACTATATATATACTATATATATACTATATATACTATATATATACTATATATATATACTATATATATATACACTGTCTCTGTATACATGTATATGGGATTGTATAAAAACCCGGTGTCTTTTTTAATGTCCCAAAATCATGTTGTCGTTTTTTACTCTTATCGTTTTCTCAGGTGGTGGGCTCTCTGTACTAGAAATGTGATAGAACAAATGTCATGTTTCCCTTTCATGTTCCTTTCATTTTGCTTTCATGTTCCTTTCGTGTGGATTTCATGTTGTATTCATTTCCCTTAATGTTCCTTTTATTTTGTATTTTTTCCTTTAATGTTCCTTTCATTTTCCTTTCATGTTCTTTTCACTTGGCATTCATGTCCTTTCATTTTCCGTCGCTATGCATCAAACATACAGGTCTTTGAAAGGTGATATGTTCAAACCGGTCAGGTGGGTATCCACCAAAAAGGCAAAAAGGCTCACGTGTGCATCATATTTCGCCATCATTTTTGTTATCGTGTTATTATCCGTTTTGGAGGCCGGTAATGCATTGCTAGTGCTAAGGGGCAAGCCAAGCTAAAGTTAAAGGCCCGGGGTCATTTTCTTGTCCATTATATATATATACTGTGTGTAGATATATATATATATAATTTAAGAATATGTGTATATATATATACTGTATATATATAATGTATATATATACATAAATACTGTATTTGTATATATACATCTATACTGTATTTATATATGTATATGTATACGTATATACTATATATATATACATTTATACTGTATTTATATGGACTGTATATACATTAGATGTACTCATTCTGGAGTAGAAAGAATATACAATTGGACCATCTCCTGTTTGGGAGTGAAGTTGGTAGATATTCCAGCTTTTCCAGGATTATATACAGATCTGATACAGGCTTCAGCCCAGGGTGAGTGTGCCAGAATCATCTTGTCCCCATACAGAATGCTGTTCCTCAAAGAACATGCAAGTCCAATTTGCAATGCAAATTTGCATGTTTTCCTACTGAAAAGATTTGGAGGTGTCCTAGAATGGGGGTACCCCTAGATCATCCAATTCAACAAAGGCTGTTCCATTATAAATTTTCTGGGCAAATTATAATAATTCACTAACCTGAATTAAGGCCATTTGGGGATGATTTCCCTTACTAACTATGATTTCCAGTGAGCTCGTAGTGAGCTCGTTATAATTTACCCAGAATTTTAAACCATCCAGCTATTGGGGATCCCCCTGAAATCTCCGCCTTCTTACCACTGCTGCCAATGGCAAGGACGCCGGGAGAGTAGAACCTGGCAATCAAACATCCACCATTAAAAGTCATCAGCCTGAAAAATTGGGATGAAACTGAAATTAGTGGCTATTATATGCTATTATTATATAATAGTTCCTATTAAAAATTAGTGGGGCTAGATGTTCCTATTGAAAAATTGGGCTAGTCTAATGAGTCTATTGCAAGGTGTGTTTTCTACAATATATGAAAAAGCATGAGGACACATGCAACGTCCAACGGTCGAAATATGTTTCATTTGGTAAGCCGAGATATACTGGGAGAAAGGATAAAGCATAGAGCAATGTACAGAGTATGTCATGTTGTCCTGTGGATACCACTGCAATACAGTGGAGGTGCAATCGGATCAGTATCTATTGCAGATAATTCATAGGGATATGAGTGGGATACCATGGTTGCGGGCCAAATTTGTTGGACAAAATTTACGCAACAGGCTATGGGTAGGTGGCGAGGATTCAGTCCACACTTCTCAAATGAACCATAATCCGGGATGGAGCAGCATGTTTCCCATATTTTTTCCCAGATACCCACATTTTAGGCTGAAGATTGATTTATGTTTTTTGAATGTTCAAATTTTTGGAGAAATGTCCCATCCATCCCATCCCCTCTAACATATTCTAACATAAGAACTTTCACTTCCCAAATATCTTCACAACATGTCTGAAATCCCAAGGTCTTGCTGCTGAAGTTCCAACGTTTCGTGGAAATAGAAAGCTACCCTCCAGTAAATGGGTGTGTCTGAAAATGGTTAGCACCCCTAAACCCAATGGTTTTGCTGATCATTATCCCTATTAAATGGCTATAATTAGGAATATACCCTATTTTCAGACAAACCCAAATGAACATAGACCCTGGTAGTCATCGGGCTTGGAAGATGAGTTTCCTCTAAACAACGGTGATTTTCAGGGTCCAACTGTTAATTTACCAGAGGGTTACGCCCTGTTCGCAAAGCTGGGTCCCACTGAGAGCTGCTGCTGGTTTTGCAGCGTGGCAGCTTGACAGGTGTCGCTCACCCAGAAGATCTGCTTATAGCGCCGCCTTGAAAGTGGCACTGGCTGAACAGCTGAACACACAAATAACCTCCGCTCATCAAATATGGCAATGGAAAATTCCCCACAAACCTCGAATCTTTGTTTATGGAATATACCCATGAATACTCCTGTAGTTCTATCCCCATGATCAACCATCCGAATCATGATCAACCATCCGAACCGTTTTGGCGTCAACTTAGCTATTGTGCCATGGCTTCACCGGCTGAACCTTGAAAAGGATTGAAAATCTGCAAATCGTAGATGATCAAAATGTGACTCTTCATGAAATTGAAATCAAACAATTAAGCTTGTTTGAGGTGGCAGCTTTTTGAATTCTGAAAGGAGAATCGTAATCCATGTAAGTATAAATAAAAACATACTGTATAATATATATATATATCATATATATATATATCATATATATATATCATATATATATATCATATATATATCATATATATATATCATATATATATATATCGTGTATATATATATATTATGTATATCATATATACATATCATATATATATATCATATGTATATACAAGTATATATCATATGTATATATATATCATATATATATATGTATATCATATATATATATATATCATATATGTATATATATATCATATATATATATGTATATCATATATATATATGTATATCATATATATATATATATGTATATCATGTATATGTATATATATATACCATGTATATATGTATATCATATATATATACATACAACCTCTGGGTAATCAGAGCATCCTTGTTGGGTCCGGGCAGTGAACATCAACAGTATGGCCGCTAGCTTTTTCAACTCAACCCGGACGTATTGCAGATCTCAGATTAAAGGAAAAACAGCCGTTCAGTTCGGTTAAGTGATGTATTTGGTTTTAAAACAATCGAGGCTTAACGGCTTAACCCACCATTTAAGAAACACATGGAAAACGCATTGAAACCTCCCTAGAGAGTGGTGAGATCATGGTGAGATCTTTCAAAAAAAAGCAAGTCCCTGATGGCTGGCCCGTGTCTCCGCGCTGCTGCTGCATCTGCTTGAAGGCATCTGCGATATCCGTGGAAGTCAGCTCTTCCCAGTCCTGAACAAAGGCTCGTTGATAGAGAAATCCTGCAGAAGATCTATGGAATATGTATCGAAATGTATAGAAAATGTATCGAAGTGTATAGAATATGTATGGAATTTCGGAAAATTCTCACTAACGTGATGGAAGATTCAGATGGAAAGTCCATATTTCATCTACTTCTGGATGATTAGAACTATGTCAACTCTGAAGGCTGTAATAATAAGCCTCAATAAGGTTTACACATGTATTAACAGTTATTAACATATACAGGTTTATGTGTATATTATATACATATGTGTGTGCTGTTGTCATCCAATACGTTGATTGATTCAGAGGTTTCCAGGCAGTGCACGATTTCTCACCTGAAACTTGATGAACTCTTCGCCGGAATGCCCGGTGATGAAAATGAAAATGTTGCCTTGGCCCCGTTGGCCGCGTTGGCCCCGATGATGATGATGGTAGTGAAATGATTAGTGTTCATCATAGTCAGCCAATATCAGTAGTAATCCAGGTAGTAAATCATTTTTGGGGGATTCCTCAAATTCATAATCAAAAACGAGGTATTCGAAGTTCCCACAGATCACAATGGTCTTTTCAGGCGGGTCCGTTCTGAAAAGCGAGCTTAGAAGTGCCGATTTATTTGTCTGTGTGCACTCCCTGTACGAACTCTCAGGTTCACCAGGTAATCTGGAAGTAGTCTTGCCAAATTATATTTAATCCGCTTCGAAAGTTTAAAACTATACCCAGGACGGATCCATGGTGCTGCTATATATGGTGTGCCATGGATTCCATCAATATGCTATATATACCCCAGTCAGCATTTTTCTACCAGCACCATGGATCCGTCATGGGATATAAAATGAAATGACCCAGTCTTGGTCTTTGTAAAGTCCGTCAGAATCCATCATCTCTGTGCTTTTGTTAAAAGGTGGATCTGCCGCCCGTGACTCGTCGAAAGGGGGGCAGAATGGCAGAATGTCGGAGGCTTCGCGTGGAGAACAAACCATTGAAATATATTGAAATCACCTATCATGGTTTGAAATCCATAAAAAAAATCACCATAATGTGGAGAACCCACATCCATTGAAATCATATCTCAGGGCGATTTTTATGGATTTTTCACATGGATGTGGGTCAAAGACATTGGATACACCAAGAAAAGGTGGGTACCTTTTCTATATCCCAATATGAAATATCCCCTTTAAATGGTACCATTTATACATCCATTTTCATCCTTTACACCCATGGTTTCTGGGGGTGTGGAAAAGAACGGGGAAAGGGATTGCTGATGTTTTTTTATTCATGATCCAATCATCCTCTGGACCAGAAAAAAAAATCGTTAGTTATCATCCAATGATCATAAGTATGAAGTATCAGCATCCAATAATCTGGATTCGTAATTTCATGGTAATTGTCAATATCATATGGTACACGATAAAAATATATAAAAATACTCGTCAATGATGATAATGATGATTACTCAATCATCCAATAATAATCCATCATCCAGACCTATCTAATTATCATTCGTGGCACTAATCATGATGATGATTACTTACCACTGCATCTACTACTAATCTGTCAAAAATTGCTACTATCAACAGAAAAGATTAGAAAAGATCTCATTATCACCAATTCTCATCTCACGAGTCGTCGTCATCATCATCATCATCATCATCAGCATCAGCATCATCATCATCATCATCATCCAGAAAATCCATGGACCCTTCATTCCATCTGTCAGAAAATGATCCAATTCCTGGGCCCGGCACTTGAGGCATCGGTCAACAAGCGCTTGTTGCGAGGCGTGCTGGGAGGATGGCGACCTGCAGGAAATGCGTCACGGGGTTCATGAGGGGATTCCCTTGAAATCTAGGGGGGTTCATGAGGGGGGTCCTATGCTTTCCAGCAAGATTTTCCCTTAAGGCCCTTGGGGTATAGACTTTGGTTTTATTTGGCGATGGGTCAAAAGTTTCGGCCCGGAAAAACCAGAGATTTTGGCCATGCTCAGTATTTTTAGGGAGTACCCGATTTTGCCAACCAAAAATATAGGGGTTCGCGAACAAACAGAAATTTTAAGAAGTGTAAAAATGGCACTTGCATCAACCGAAAATGGTGATTTCGGCGACAAGAAAGTGGAGATGTACAGTAAAGTACCCATGGAAGATGTAACTTGGAGTTGCTGCGCCCAAAAAGTATTCTCAGTCATTTGACCCAAATGGTGCATGCCCACTGGGAAAGTCAAAGATCATATTCAGCCTACATCTAGAGCAAGGGTGTTCAATTATGATGTGTTGCAGGACTAAATTCCTCATCGGGGTTGCTAGCATTCCAAACAACAAACTCAGACAAAGTAACCAGGTGCTGATCTAATAACCACCATTCAGAATAGGACAAGTATCCATAAATCACAAATTATGTCATATTGAATCATATTGAATAAAATGAAAATTACAAATGTTTTTTGGTGTATGTGAGAAGTAATTTTCTATTGCCATTGTGTGTTTTTTCGGCTACAGGATGAGGCCGAATGCCTCCGCTGTGCAAAAAAGTCACCACTGAGGACTTTTTACTTTCAGAATATCTCACACCAGTCATGAAAAATTGTGACCGTCATGGTGTGAGATATTCTGTGGTGGATGTTTTTTATTGACTGTTTACTGTAAATCAATTGTGGAAGGTCATGAAAAATGAATAAAAATGACCCCAATGTTAGAAGGCCTACTCTAACGATGCTTGATATATTGATGTACGATCATCATGCTAAGGCATTTGGGCCAGCAAACTCCAAGTCTGATTGAAGTAGAAGTGGTTTATGTCCTAAAAGTCTACTTAGTATAGATTCCAAATGAACCCCAAATGAACCATGCTGAAATTTCCCCAACAGATCTCGCTGTGTGCCTGTGAGAAGTCTCAAGAAGTTTTCTACAGAGACTTCATCACCACGATAGTCCACCTGCCAGCGTTGCCGCTGCTGAAACCACAACAGAAAGCCAGGCTCCCAGAGAACTGACGAAACGGACGAAACTGTCGCACCTCCACCTCGGTCCCATAGAGATTCAGCTTGTGCTGCCTGGGAAAAAGTGAAAAATGAAGAAGGGATCCAGGGGGAAAAAACTCCAAAAGCTGTTCCGAATGGAAAAGCACTTCCGAATTGTCCTGAAACAAGGGTATTGTGCACCGAAACCCAGGATAGGTGCCAGGGCACTTCTCATTGAAGACCGTTCCGGGCTTGGCATTTCTGGCGTTGCAAGGCACGTCCTGAAAAACGCGACCGGGTCGAAGGCATCCCGTACCCTGAATGCTGGGGATTCAGGTGGTCAGCTGATCATCTTTCAGAGTCATTTCCCACATGCTCCATGGAGGGTATATGTGCCTAGATTCATGATAATTGATCTAGATTCATCACCAAGCTGGGCCAGAAACACACTATGGCTATGGCATGGGAGGGCGTTCCTTAAATATTTGTGAAGACGTAAATTTCAAAAAAATTGCTGAGCAGGTAGAAACCTCTACACAAGACCTGGGCCTCTATTTTGGGTGACATGGATCGGGGTCATTAATATCTAAGGTGCCAAAAAAAATGCACAACACTGAAGATGATCGAAATCTGATCAAACTATTCAAGGTCTAAGGTGTCAAATTTCAAAAAAGCATCTTATGTTTCAATCTGATCAATCTGCTGCTTCTTTTTTATCCGGTTGATCCCCAGATTCCCAGCCACAACAGATCCAGGTTGATCCCCCACCTCCGCCATCATCAAAATGATCTGCGAGTCGGGAATGCCCAAGCGCTTCACCGTGTGATAGAAGGACAAGGTCTGGGGCTGACCGGAAGATTTTTGGCCTTACCAAGTTTGGATGTGAAGTATGTCAACGATCACAAAGAAAGGCTATTTGAAAAAAATGTGTATATGTTATGTATAATATATATATATATATATATTGATATATTAAGTTTGTAATAGTTTGTATAATATGGTGAATATGATACATATGTATATATATATACAGGCATCCATGTACAAAAATGTATATATGTTCGTACATCAATTTGCCAAGGTCTGGATGATGGAATGTACGGATCTTGAATTGTGATTGATCGTAAAGTAAGTTAGAACTAAAAGTGCTCTTCATGCAACAAGTGTGTGTGTGTGTGTTGCCATCTTCTACCTCTCCCCTTTACCGGACTAGGATAATTACGATATCTAAAAAATTGATCTAGTTCTAAGCTCACGAAAACTGGGAAGTGTCTTGGTTTGAAGGTGTTCTTACCTGTTGCACTTTAGTCCTAGAGAGGCGGCTGTATATGATTCCGCAGCTCACCAAAATGCTCAAATGCGATCCTCTGAACTGTGTAATTTGTCTGCTTCCTGCATCCCACTATCAACTCCTAGTTGGTGAATCCGACTCGGGGAGGAAAAAAAGAGAGAGAGAGAGAGAGACTCTTCCATTTGTGAAGTAGGCGGTATCAAAGACACAACCCAGCTCCAACAATGGGCCCTTCTTCCCATCCTCTACTCAAGGCTTTCCTTCTCCCAGCTTCTAACATTTCCAAGTCTTATGATGCCAAATCGACATAAATGGAACACCCCCCCGTGTAGAATAAGACAACTAAGCAGGATTATAAACCACTACCTGGGAAGCTTCTCTAAGAGGCTTCACCATGTTTTTTCTCGGATTTCTTTGGTCTTGCCATGTCTTGCCAGCTTCGTCAAAATGCGACCAGCACCCACCATTTCTGAGACCCGATGCATTTGCAGCATGGCGATAGTTGTACCAATACTTGGAGGTCTCAACCAGCACCGCCCAATTGTTGCCTGTCCAACCCTTGGGGATGGGCGAGGTGGCATAGCTGTTGGGTCTTACGCAACTGCCATAGGCTGCGGTTTCAACCTCTTCCCATGTTGAATTTCATGCCTGTAGGTCTCAGAAACAAGCTGACCGGCCAATTTCTCAAGGCAATTTGATGATCAGCCATGTCATACTCCATCCACTACTGGTTCATCGTTATTATCATCAATTCACTTCTATCAAACAAGTGGTTCGGTTCACCATCATCACCATCATCCTTCAACCCCAAAATCCAGTGGTTCAAAAACACACAATTGTTGATTCATGAAAAAAAAGCCAAAAAAAAATCACGGGCTACCCTCTGGTTATGTCAAAATAGCTATTGAAAATGGCCATGGAAATAGTGAGTTTTCCCATTAAAAATGGTGATTTTCCATAGTTATGTTAGTCATTACCAGAGGGTATCCCCCAAGCTTGGAGATTCCCCGAAGCTGAGTTGAGCACGTTCGAACGTGCCCAGGTCAGCCCGGGGTTCAAGGGCGTGACTGACAGGCGCCAGGAGTAGGCTCCTGGGATGACATGGAAAACTGACCACTTGAGATGGGATAAATCCAGGTTCATCAAACATTTTTGTTGGCTGGGAAATCCCCACAAAAAATGGAGGTTTGATGGAAAAAGGATGGGAAAAACATCTACAAATGGGGGATGTTCAACTGCCGCGGTTGATTACTGGAGAGTGTCCAGCAGAGTATCCAGCATTGCCACGTTTGATTACCAGAGCATAACCAAGGGGGTTAACGATTCCATGGATTTCAGGGGAAATCGACATCGATTTCAGAGTGTTCCATGGTTTTCCGACGTTCCCTTAAACCAATTCTGGGGTACTGGGCCCACAAGCTTCACAAATCAAAAAGCAGGGGGTTAGACAAGGTGGATCAGGGAAACTGATGGAAAGGGTCAAACTTATCAGCAATAGTAGTTTGCTCAGGAAAGCTGTCAGAATCATCACCGATGAATCCCAAACGACATCATGCAAACTCTCACAAACACGAATCAACAGCAACCAGTAGGATTTTGGGCTTCCCAGAAAGATACGCCCGTTCATGAGCAACCAGAGGTCGAAGTTATGCCCTTTTTTTGCCCGTGATGCTCCGTCCTCCAGCACAGCCACAGCCACAGACACCCCATTGCAACACTGGAGACTGTGTTAGCTCATCACCGTGTAATCCGTGGAACTTTCTGCCGTTGCCATGGGGAATTTGGTGTCAATTGATGTCACCTGATCCTGGTCTGCTGTGAACCTGATGATTGAAGTCTATGCATCGACTCCCTGTCCGTGTGGCTTGGCTTGGTTTTAAAATTAAGTCACGCTGTGCTGAACCAAGTCATACCAAGTCCCAGGAATTGGATGAGAGGAAAAGTTACAATTTATGTAACAGTAGTGGGGAAAATACCCTCTGGTAATTTAACATAACTATGGAAAATCCCCATTTATAGTGAATTTTCCCATTAAAAATTGTGATTTTCAATAGCTATGTTAAATTACCAGAGGGTAATGGGTTTCCTGTAACGTTCAAAACGTTTGAAGCCAAGAAGATCCTGGTGCACCGCCTGTCATCTTCATCTTAGCCCGAGCCAGTGGGAGAAAAGTTGTGGATGAAGCTACCTCTCACAACAAAAGCCATGTTTGTGCAGGATCAAACACAAACATATGTGGTGCTTGTAGTAGAATCAGGGGATGTTTGATCATAGAAATTATTTATTGTTGAATGTTCCATTGGGGGTCTTACTATCTTCTAGTCCTCTGATGATTCTTGACCATCCATGTCGTGATCAAGCCTATTGTTTTGAAAAGAGCTAGTTTGTTCTATGGATCAACACTAAACTCTCTAAACAGTACCCTGGTGTTCACAACAAATCTTAGCTGGTAGCCAGAATGATTTCCATCAGGAAAAACACGGAAAAAAAAATATGGTTTGCTTAGTAGGCCGTATGGTAAACCCATCTACCCTCTGGTAATTTAACATAGCTATGGAAAATCACCATTTTTTATGGGAAAATCCACTATAAATGGCCATGTTCAATAGCTATGTTAAATTACCAGAGGGAAATCCCTGAAAACTTAAAGCCTGAGTGTATGGCCAAATCCAACCAGAAAATCATGTGGGGACAAGAAAAAGTCCAGGGCCCTTTCTTCTGCAGGCCTTCTGGATGCAGCCCGCCATGGATTTTTTAGCTTTTCATAGGACACAATCTCTTTGTGATGGGACCATTTCATGGGGATTTTATTGGGGGTTTAGTGGGATTAAGTTGGATATAGTTGGAATCCCTGAAACCATTGAAAAGTGAATCATCATCAAAATTTAGCAGGCTCAAGGCTCCTCACTTTTCTTTCATCCTTTTTTGGGACAGAAGAACCTGAATTTCCCCTTTTTTGGATCGCACGCGTTTCGTTTTTTTTGAGATCAAAATCTTCTTAAGGTATTCATCATTCAAATCAACCCCATTCCAGTACTCATTTTGCTTGCCCTTTGCCACGCACTCGGCGCCTTTGCACCAGGGTGTGCTCAACTGGATGTGCTTAGCACACTGAGCGGGCCACCCCGCGCGCTGCCGCCTGTGTGAAACGACGATGCCTAACTAGCTCCACAGCGATCCATGCAAAGAGAAAGAGACTTGGGTTTGTCTGAAAATAGGGTATAGTCCCAATTATAGCCATTTAATAGGGATAATGATCATTAACCATTGGGTTTAGGGGTACACTATTTTCAGACAAACCCACTTCAGTGAACCACTCCCCTGTGCCTAACTCTGTGCGACCTGGCACATTCTATGAGACTGACTCCCCATTTCAGCGAGGAACTTCGGATGTGTCATAGGTGTGAGCAGAAACAACCAATTTGAAGGTTGATACAGTAATTATGCAGAGTTCCATCAATGTGCTGCTCGACCTCAGACGTTCTTTTTTGCTTCACTGAAGCTCATCGAATGACAAAATGAATTCAGGATGAGTCCTGGCATGTTTCGGGAGCAGCTGAAAGATGAGGGTGACGGTGACAGCCCAGAGTATCTTTGATCAGCTGGTGTAAGAGATTCCATTCAAGAACGTATACACTTTTGAAACCTCATCAAAAAAACAAGTCAAACAATACCAAAGGGCAAAGTCTTGGGCAATACCTGGGCCCAACTCTGGGCAAAGGCGTGTGCATGTTCAGAGCTTACCCTCTGGTAAACTAACATAACTATGGAAAATCACCATTTTCAATGGGTAAATCCACTATAAATGGCCATTTTCAATAGCTTTTTGTATGTTTACCAGAGGGTAACAACAATCATGGATGTTCTGAACACAAACCGCATCAAACACCGCGGTGAACCGGTGACCTCCCAACAAAAATTTTGGGCATAGGCTGAGCTCGCCATCGATCATTGCGGGGTGAACCCCGGGTCACCCTTGGGAGAGGTTGGAAAAAAATACCCATGATATGGGGATGGGTCAGAACCCTGGTACCTAGTGAACACCAAAATAGCTGGTAAATGGATGTTCATCCCCCTAAAAATGGTATTAATAGGTCTTGATCCATACCAATATAGAAAAAAAGACAAGTGCCCCCTCCACTGAAACGCGTGAAGTTGCGTTTCAGTGACGCATCGTATTTCTGCAGTGTGTGGTGCTTGTGAAAAAACCGATTGTGGTTTGTGTAACCACACTTGTGTGATGGGATGATCTTGTGACATACGTTGCACTGGACATCCCAAATTTCAAGCGGAAAACCATGTATCATCACATACTTAAACTTTTGAGACAAGAGTATAGAATCATATAAAATCATATAAAATCATATAAAATCATATAAACCCAGTCCAACTTTGGGCATCAACAACCCGCTGTTGGTTATCAGAAACCTATTTCTTCGCTATGTTCATGGCTAGCGATAGCTTGAGCCCCCTTCGGGATCCCCATCTTCCGGCTCCTTCCCACACTCGAAGCAAATGACCTTGTCACCCGGCATCATCGCCTGAAGTTTCAGCCGCGCCATAGGATTGGATTTTTTGATCATGTGCTGTAGATCAATCAATCCTCTGTGAAAACTCTGTGTTGCTAAAAAAACTAAAAACAAGCCGGTTTCGAAGCATGTCACAAGCAAAAAAAAAAGATTTCAAACCTAAAGCACTACCTAAAGCGATAAAAATGGGGATCAAGCCTGGTATGTTAATGGCTGTTTCGGCAACAATGAGGGGAAGATAAAACCCATCATTCGTCCACAACCAACAGTTCTGGTGCAATCTGCTATGTAACCAAGACTTAAGACCTGCAGGGCGTGTCGCAAATCAATAGTTGAGACCAAGAGGGGGCCACCACCAATCCTGTAACAACACATGGCTCTTGGACACTCCAAGAACCATGTCTTTCAGCTAGATGATTTATGATCTTCGTAAATGGTGACTGGTTGGGATGTACAGTAAGTCCGTAGAACTGAGGAGCATTTGGGGATGGTTTAACATATCATATAATGTTGGATGGACAATAGTAAAGCGCGTGCAATAGCTACAAATAATTTTCAGAATCTGATTTTTCAGCCCCTATTGATTTTAAATTAGGCCTTATTGATTGGTCCAGAGCATCTGCAATAATTGTGCTGCATTCGCAATAGCTGCAAATAATTTTCAGAAAATTCCCAAATTATTGGAATTTTCCAATACTAAATTGTACAAGGGCTAATTGAGATTAGTATGGATGCAGGAAAAAAACTCAGAACCAGTTACAGCTCAGCTGTATTTTTCCCTTCTTCCTTTGTATGTTTCATTGTGGTTGAATGGTTTTAAATTGTGATTGCATGCTTTTCAAGAGACAAAAACAAAGAAAACCATTACCAAATCAAAAACTTTACCTTGTTCAAAAGAGCTGTTTTCTTTATTAGAATCCTTTTAAAAAATTGCAAAAAACAGGTCCACAAAGGGTACACCCTTGCAGGCCCTTGCATTTGCAATTAAAAATTAATTAGCACTTGCAATAAAAAACAACCTTTCTGGCTCTAGCTGATTTTTTCCCTTCTTCCTTAGTGTTTTTAATTGTGGTTGAATGGTTGTAAATTGTGATTCTCACCAAAGCCTATCAGAAAACAGAGGTTCTCAATCAGAATCCAATGAAGATCCCATCAGAGCCCTATCAGAAAAGACAGGATTTGTCAAAACCTTAGAGAAGCCTTGGGGAAGAGTTGAGATTTTCGAGTTACAATTGCAAAGCAGACCCCAAAAAAAAAACATCGGGGGGGCCCTTTGCTATTGTCGATGTAACATTAGTCATGTTTGATATACTGTCACATCTGTCACTGCGATACCTGGGCTTTACCCGCTACCCCTGTCTCGGCATCATCCCAGCACTCGGCATCACTCAGCTCCCCTGCCGTCTCTTTTCCCGGAGGAGCTGTGTACACAAAGCTCACCCTGACAGTACGACAGTTCTCCAAAAGAGATCCCCAACCGATAATAGGTGTGTGTGTGTGCATATAAACATATAGATATATAGTCTGAATATGCCTCTATATATATATATAATGTAATTGTTCTGTGTGTACATACGTATGTATATATAAATATATATTAATATATTGCTATATATATATATGTATATATATATACATACACAAACTTGTTTGAGCACCGTACATCCTGTGGGGTATGAATGGGGTTATAATTCCCCATGATTTACCAATATCAGGGGTGTTTGTGTGTGTGTATCTTTCATGGCGGCTGATGTTTTCGCGCTTGCTGCTGTAAAAACTGAGGCGTCCCCCTCGCTTGTTTTCAACTCCGGTGAGGTTTTGATCATTGACCTCGTTTAGCGCAGCACTTGGCGTTGATCTTTCCTAACCTCGCCGAGTTTTGAGGCTCGTTTTGCACCCAAAGGCTAGCGGCTAGAGCACTTAGAGTTGACCCCATATGAGAGTCATCCCAAATATAATTCAACTGACACCAGACATGTGGGATGTTCTATGGTGAACTAACATAGCAATGGAGAATCACCATGCTATTAATGGGAAAATCCACTATTTCTATGGCCATTTTCAATTGCTATGTTAGTTCACCAGAGGGTATGTTCTATGGTTTATCATCATGAAATATGTTCCATATGAAATTCATTGGCCACTTTTATTACGGTCTCCACCATGGTTGCACGAAGCTACAAAAAAAAACTCTGGTAATATATAGCTCCCACTCTATCCCGTTCTATCCAAGTGTATCCCCTACTATCTGTTGGTTTTATACCCAATCTTTGAGCTTAAATTCACCATTTCTGAATAGGATTATCTTACATAAAAATGTGGGACCCCTCCCCAACTTTATGGTTACATAATTACCATTGTCCCAATTACTTAATGGCTATTGTGTGGGCACACAATTCTTGGTTCTAAGTGTATCCCTCAAATCATACGTGGGTTCATCTCACAATTTATATCAAAACTTTGGATATATCAATGAGATAAATATACATAGATACACAATGATACACATTATCTATTAATATATATACATATTATAGACCTGTTTCAATATATATATATATATGTGTGTGTACTATATAGTTATTGTATCATATATGTATATATTAATCTGTGTATATATATATATCAGATATGAAAATATGTATATATATATATATATGTCATTTATATGTGACATTTATATATTATATATGTCATTATATAGATATATATATATATATCGTGTATATATCATGTATATATCATGTATATATCATTTATATATCATTTATATATCATCTATCATGTATATATCACGTATATATCATGTATATATCAGTTATATTGTTTTACAGGTCACCTAGCCAAAAGTAACCAACACTAGCGCGCTTGTTTCTTGAGCCATGCACAACGAGTATATCCAGTGAAACCCAATAAAAACACCCCCCGCCGCCCCGCAGTATTAACGGAGGGCGGAGAGGCAAACTCGATCGCCAGAAGTGACCTGAGAGCGATCGGGCTAAGATTGAACATCACTGGAAACAAAGTATGGTTGTGCGGTTGATCTCAGCTCTACGGATGCATGAGGCAAATAAAAGGATATCGGGTGCATTCATTTTGGATCCTCAGGCTGCATGTGTCGACAAAGCAAAAGCAACATCGGCCTGGCTTCCGCCAAGGCATAGGAGCATTACCACTCCTTTCAATGCCTTGGAAAATTGAAAGCTACTGTATCAGGCTAATGTACACGGCTATATACACGCGCAGCAAATGCAATGGATCGGATGCTGGTGTCAATGTCTTTATGAAGCAATTGGGAAAAGTATTCAAGTTAATCAAGTTAGAATTTCAAGTTTGGAAATGTGTGCACTTCGATTGAACTGAATGACCATAGGTCAGCTTTCATCCAATCGGCCAAACCTTCCGGTAGGCATAAAATCATGGCACAAGATGTGAAACATCTACCACGACTCAAACTCTACCGTCCCATCATTGTAGGTGCGCTTGAAGTGCGGTTGGCCGTTGATCTCGCAGTACTCCTCAGCAATCACGAGCGGCATCCTCGGCACTTGCTGTGGAGGTTCTGCTGCAGGAGCTGATCCAGAGGCTGCTTGGGCAGGGTCACCAGCAGCAGGAATTGTGTCAGGCACAGGCGTCGCTGTTGAAGGTGGCCGCACTGGCTCCGGAGGAGCTGCTGAGGAGCTTGATGCTGTAGATCTTCCCCAAGGATCAGCAGTCCATCCTCTGCCAGAGTAGCCCTGATTCCAATTCCAGCTTTGCCATTGGGCCTGCCCTCCCGAGCGGCTTGAGTAAGATCCATACGAACCCCATTGTTGCCCTCGGTTCCATCCACTGCGGCACTCAAAGGATTTGTGGCCATACTGACCGCACTTCCAGCACTCAATGGCCTGCTGAAAGATTGGTCGTTGTTGCTGACCATAACCCTTGCCCTTGCCCTTGGCTGGCTTCTGGATCGGGTCAAAGTGACGCCGGTATCCCTCTCGCCCTTCGCCAGTACCCGTCTTGGAGGACCTTGCCAATGGAAACTCAGCCACATCTGATGCGGTGGCTTCATCCACGAAGGAGTGCTCCTCACCCTTGATGTTATTATATTGTTCCTTCCACTGCCTCTTCGCGAAGTCGACGAGGTCAAAGAAACAATCTTGGGCTGAAGCCTGATCCACAGGTAACACTGAGCCAGACCAACCAAATAACATCGGCGTGGGTTCCCCCCTCGCTTTCAGTAAGTCCGCAGCAAGAACAGCAAATTGTGGGAGTGTAAAAACACGTGCATGATGTGCAACCATGGCTTCCTTGGTAACGTCCAACGGGAGTCGGATGTCTCTGTTGAAGTCAGGCATAAAAATCAAACGAGTGCTGACACCTGTTCCCAGCTGCTTTTCTCGCTTCTCTCGGGTACGGCCAACATCAGGGGCAATGCATTTTGCCAGATCCTCCAAAAACTGACAACAGTCAGGGGTTATCTGGCCAACCGCATTGTTGAACAAATAAAATGGGTCCTTCTCCATGCGGTCCTGGATCGATTTGAAGCCGAGCTTTGTGTATCTTCCCGCATGTGTCTGAGCAGCGTCCTTGAGATTTCCGAAGTTACTTCGTCCAGCTCGACGTTGATCTGCTCGGGTGCGGTCAGAAACTCGCTGAGCACGCGGCTGCTTCTCAAAATCGATCTTGTCCAGGGAAAACACCTTATTGGTTTTCTTGGCCGAGATTTCCATCCGGCATACCTCTGTCGCAATTCTTCCATCCGACCAAGCAATCAGCCATTTGAAGCACGACTGACACTTGTGGGTGCCCTCAATGTTCTGTTCACCGCAGAAGTGGCATCTGACCTGCTGCATCTCAATCTTTGAGCTGTAGATGTAATCCTCAGCATTTGTTGAGCGCTGGGCCAGCCCTCCCGGGCGGCTTCCTTTTCCCTTGCCTTTTCCCCGGCCCTTGCCCTTGCGGATGGTTTCAGCATTGGACAAAGCACCAAAGGAGGCCATCTTCAACGTCACCTTGTCTTCAAAGGGTCCTGAAGTTCCTTCACGTCGACGAAGAAGTGGGGGAAGCTCTTCCGGAGAGTCAGTCATCTGCATCTGGCCTGGTCGAATGGACTTGCCGCTCATGAGGTAGGCCTTCAGACTGTCCCTGGCGTTGGCATACGGGCTCTTGGACAAGGCTTCTTTCTTCGGAGTGTCCTGGTCCTTGTGGGTCTTCATTTTGCTGTTGTACCCCACACGCGTGATCTCATAGGGGCGATTCACCCAGGCAAACTCCCTGTTGACAGCATCATATGTGCAAATGATGTTCTCGTTGGAGATCCAGTCAGGGCTTATGATTGCTTCGTCTGTGCGAAACAATCGGCAGCCGCTTTGGACGATGAGCTCGGTGTCAAAGGCAATGTAATATTGCTTCCCGGCTCGCGTTCCCGCGAGCTTTCTGCCACCGACTGAATCATCCCATGGATGCGACGCAATAAAGAAATTATGCGCCCTTCCTGTTCTTTGGGGCCAGCCACCTGGGATGAGACCATGTTCAACTATCTTTTCCATAGCGAGCCTGTCGCAGCTATGGTAGATAACCCTTGGGAGTGCAGCCATCAACTCCGGCACAAGGTCTGGACGAAGGTTTGTCCTTGGCAACTTGGGCGTGTCGAGGTCGGCCTTGGAGAAGGTTGGATCCAGAGTAAACACTTCCTTCACCAGCGATGAAATCTTGGCATTTTCCACCACTGCGCGGTTGTGTCCTTGGACTGCTCTGATGGCGACAACCTTCCATGGCAAACCCTTCCAGGTTGCTTCAGGCAAATCGGGCTGGGCCACTTTCACCTGGAAGCGCCTGGTGTCACTGTTGCGCACAATGGACAGGACCTCACTGATCTTCGGGTAGGAGACGTAGTGGGCCATCGTCTTCATCACCGCCTCGAAATCCATCGAAAGATCCATGGGATCGATGTCTGGGCTGCGAGCACCGTAGCTCAATGCGTGTCCACGGAGAACATAAGACAACTTTGTGGAAAGAAATCTCAGTCGCCCTTGGCCGCAATACTCCTTGGGGATCCTGTTGATCATGTCATTGGGGTCCAACCATACTGATCCCTCTTGGCGTTCCGTTGCTTCTTCCAACTTGCGAAGGGCTGCATCAGCTTCGACACTGAGTCGCGGCGCTTTCTGTCTGGGCTGCGCTTTGGACTCTGGTGCCTTTTGCTTTTCACTCTTCGGCATTTTCTTTTCGGCCGGCTTTCCAACTGGCTTGTCAACCTCCACCTTCTTCTCGGTTTTGGTCAGGTCGACAATGGCAGTCTTGTCAGCAGGCTGTTCGGAAGAAGCAGAAGCCTCAGGAACCGCAGTGTCAGTTGGCACACCCTTCCGGGCAGCATCAGCACCTTCCTTCTTCTCAGAGTCAACGTCCATGGCAGTGGCTTCAGATCCACCAGCCTCGGTCCATGTTGAGATCCTG